TCTTGACGCAGCCTGTGCCATCCAGGTCCCGTTCAGCAGTCTCTGCCTGCGCCTATGCCTGCGCCTATGCCTGTGTTTTCTTCTGGGAGTTGCAGGATTTCTGGCTATAGACCGAGGCCTTTGATCCATTTAGAGATGGTCTGAGTACAGGGGAGGAGCCAAGGACCTCACTTTGGTTCTGTGTGTGGACCTTGTTTTCCCAGGCCCTCTGTGGCTGTGTGGGGTGTTGGCTGTTTCCTGTCCTTTGTTCTGTCTGTCGTTGACATGACTTTTTTTTGCCAGTGCCGTGTCATGTTTGTTACCATGGCTCTGTAGTATAACTTGAAGTTAGGGATTATGATCCCATTTTAGGGGAGCTCTAGTTCTCCCCCACCTGGTCTCTCCACCTCCCCACACCGTCCCGCTGCCCAGTCTCCCATCCACGTCCATCGGCTTGTGGTGACCCCTGGGAGCCAGTTCCACAGCTGGCTCAGAGCCTGTCCCACGGCACAGTATGGATCCTGGGGACACCTGAGGGAGGAGTGCCGTGGGCTGAGTCCTGGGCTGGGTGGAGGACAGACCCTAGAGGCCCTTACTGGACCTTTCTTCTTGCTTCCTTGTGGGCCGTGCAGCAGCCCTGATCCTCCCCGGGGCCTCGGTGCCCCTGCACTCTCCGTGGAGCCCCGTCAGCCTAAGTGTATCACCCCGTTTCTGGCTCTGAGATGCTCGGCTTGTTTCTAGGGTGGCTGTGACCTAAAATACATCTTACCTCTTGCTGCTTTGGAGCAGGCAGGGCCTCAGAGCATGCTGAGCTGCCTGGAGGGTGAGCGGCTCTGGCTTTGTTCTCTTACAGCAACTTCACTCCTACGTGAGCCCTGTGGGGCAGGACAACACAGGTCCAAGGACCAAAGGCCCAGAGCGGTCATCAAAAGGTGGCCACTGCCCTGGCCCTTGCAGCTTCTTGCTGCCCGCAGGCTCAGGACCGTGCCAGGGGTGAGAACCCAGGGACAGCGTGGCCGGGCCTGGGCTTCCCCTGCTGGGCCTCTGACCTGGGCCTTGGGACCCATCTCTGGAGTTGCTCTCTCCCTCCTGCTCGCCCCAGCTTAGGGTCTTATGAAATGGGCTTAGGGTTTTACAAAAGACAGACAGAGCCCTTGGCTTCAAGCTGCTTTGGCTTTCTGCCTGGAAAAAAGTCCCTGGGGCGGGGGGAGGAAAGTACAGAGAGCCGGGTGACCTGCTTGAAACTGGATGGGGGAGAAGGACAGAAAGTGAAACAAAGACTAAACTCTCCCAAGTGATGGTGCGGGGCAACCAAAGGGCTGGACTCAAGCGAATGAACCATCGCGTGAGAACAGCTCTGGACTGACACCACGACAGTCACCGAGTCTAGAGCTGGGGATACTTCCTGTGGAGGCCACGGCCCCCAAGTCTAACTCCAGGAGGAGGCTGCCGCCAGCCATGGCAGTGGCTCCCTTTAGCGACACACTTGCTGTTCACCAGGCCTTAAAGACCTTGTTCTGCTCAGTACGTCAGGAAACGCCGCGTGTCTCTAGAGTCTAGCCTCCCTAGACTGCAGGGGGACTGTGTATGTTTGAGCTGAGACCTTCAGAGATGACCTACTCCACAGCAGCACTGGTCACTGGTAGTCACATCTGTCCTCGGCTCATCAGCCTGTCCCCACAAGAGAGCAGGACAAGGTGGCCTGGTTCCCAGGGCCCATTTGGCACCAGTGCATGGGGCCTCTGGGTGAGCTCTGTCCCCTGGACCTGCCACACTGCTCTGTGAAGGAGGCGCAGGGGCGGGGTGGGTGGTGTCACCTCCCAAGGACATGTCCACCAGGAACATAGAGAGCGACCCCAGCTGGTGACGGGGCCATTGTAGGTGAAATTAAGGCGACACTCAGGAGAGCTTTCTGGCCCAGGGTGACCCCTGAATCCAGTGACACTGTCCTTGGTAGGACGGAGACCACACGCTGGTGGCACCGAGGTGGGAGTGATGGTCTGCAGGCTGGGAGCCCACGCGGCCACCTGCAGCCCGACGTGGGGGGAGCTACCCTGCTGCCGGGTTTTAGACCGTGGCCTCTAGAACACAGGAGAAATTCTGCTGGTTAGGCCTCCAGTTGGGGGATTTGTTATGGCAGCCCTAGGACACTAATGCAGGGGTGAAACTAAATACAAGGTGTGATCGAAAATATGGTGACAGTTTACATTTTTAAATTATAGTAAAGGACACATTACCATTGATCTCTCTCAAAATACTCACTTGGCTTCAAATACATTTTGATCTTGCCACTTTCTAAAGGGCTGGAGGTGCTCGTTCCTGAATGTATTTAGTTGTGCTGTCACAGCTGCTTCGAAGTCCGGAGTAGATTCAAAATGTGGAACTTTCACCGTCATTTTGACTTTGCTGGGGAGCCAGACGTCACAAGCGCCAGATCAGGTGACTGAGGTGAGCGAGGACGTGGCATCGTGTTCATATGAACCTGCCTCGTGTTGGATGGCATTGGCAGCAGCACTCTCAAACTGACCCTCACAAAAGAGGGCTTCCAGACCTGCTTCAGAAGGTGGCAAAAGGGAGAATTTCGAGGGGATGAATGGCAATGTCTCTTGCTGTAATACATTTTAAAATTTAACTATTCGTTGTATATTTTGGTCACTCCTTATAGTCTCAAAGATTCTTTACAAAGCAGCCTGGATGGGGAGCTCTCTGAAGAGCACAGCATCACCATCACCATCACCTGCACTTCGTCTTGATTCTGAGGTGTCTAAGGGCACCTTGGAGCTGCTGCCCATGAACCTGAGAGGGCTGGGCAGGTCCTTAGCCCAGGAAAAGGGGGAAGCCTCTTACCGGGTCAGGTCAGTGGCCTCACTGACTTAAAAGGTCCTGTGGAGACAGATCAGCCTTACTTTTGGTAGATTCAGATGAAGCCCTGGAGGAAGGGTCTGGCTTCTGTTCTGTATAATACACTTTTGTCCAGGGCGGGCTGTGGTCCCTATAGCCAGGCCTCCCAGGGAGCAGGAGGGTCCCTGTCTGGGGCTGCTTGGCCCAGATGACCATGAGCCCCTTTAAACCAAGTTGCTGGTTTTTTTTTTTTTTTTTTGGTACAGGGACTCAAATTCAAGACTTTATGCTTACCAGCCAGATGCTCATGCCAGTGAGCTATATCCCAGGCCTAGCCCGTTTCTGGAAGTCCATATTCTGTGGACTACTTGAGGTCACCAGTGCCACCTCTGTCCATGAAGTCTGAGACTGTAATAAGCGAGCCCAGGAATCTGCATTTATATGGAGCACGGAGACACAGGGACAGCGGTGGGTGCCGAGGAACTTGGGCTGCAAACCCAGCTCCAGTTCAGTGGGGGCCACGCAGGGAGCGCCGTGGGGCTCAGGACCCGGCTCCCACGCAGGGAGCACCGTGGGGCTCAGGACCCGGCTCCCACGCAGGGAGCACCGTGGGGCTCAGGACCTGGCTCCCACACAGGGAGTGCCGCCCTTCCGGGGGCCTCGCCTTGCTCGGGCTCAGCCTTTCTTCTCATTTCTCCGCGTTGATCACGACTGAGAACAGGACAGAGCTGCTTCGTCATAGCCGATGCCCTTTTCTCATCCCATACTTCCTCAAACCCTGTCCCCAAGACTTCTCTGCTTCACCCTCAGTCGGTCTCCCGGGCAGCCACCCCTCCTCTGGCTGCTCACAGCATCAGGGACCCTATCTCTGCTGCCTGCATGTGACCTGGCTCTCAGGACTCAGGGCTCCCTGGAAGCAGGAGCTGCCTTTTTCTTGCTTCTCCACAGCCATGCTGATAGCAGGCACTTGCATGCAGTGGACCAGGGGCAGCAGCAGTACCAAGCCCCAGGAATTCCCTGACCTGAGCATGCAAGAGTTTGTTCTCTTGTTCCCGGTTGGCCAGAGTCCTTCAGCCCAGCTCAGGCAGAAATCACAAACGTGAAGTGTGGTGGCTTGGATGCTGGCAGGGACCTGTCTCAGTGGCTCTCCGCCCTCAGTGCCCCAGCTCTGAGCTCCGAGCACCAGCACTGGTTAGCACTTAGCATCACAGCTCCTGTAGCTCCCAGCTGCCCCCGGCTCCTCGGGACCCGGGCTCAGAGTTCCCTTAGTGACCATCAGTTCTCGCAGCAGCTGCTGCCGTTGGGGCTCATCTGCTGGTGTCTGTGGTTTCTGCGGGTCTGTACCGCTCCTGGCCTTTCTGCCGCTCGCTCCCTGGAGCTGTCCAGGGCTACTGGCGCTGGTGTTACCAGCTCCTTCTCCATGCGACCGGCTTGGCCTGCAGACATAAGAACCGCTGGTAGATGACAGGACCCCTCTCCTGGAGCCTGTGCTGTGGCATGGGGTGGGGGTAGCACATGGGGGGCCCTCTGGACAGAGGGTGTGCACCAGCGTGGGTGGGCACTAGACACTTCTCCTGCCTTTCTGAGGACTCGCCCAGTAACAGTGGGATGGCAGGGTCTAGGCAGCATCACCAAGAGTGCCTGCAGGGCAGAGTCATCTGGGATAGGTCCACATTTCAAGGCTGCTGTGACCAAGGCAAATGCCCACTGGATTGGCCTTGGCATATCTGGGACAGTTGAGGATGTCTTGGTGACAGCTCAGCAAACTACAGCCACATAGCTAAGGATTCCTTAAATACATTGGAGCTTAGTTTATTTTTCTCACTTAAGAAACCTACAAGAAGAATGCTGCTGGCTCTGCCCCAGCAACTCAATGGCCTGAGTCCAGTGTCTCTGCAATGCTCTTGGCCTTTCCTCATGATCGTAAGATGGCTGCCACAGCTCCAGCCATGAAAGAGGGCAAAGCCAGGACTATCTGGAAAGCAGAAGCCTTCCAGGACCTCCCACGTGACTTCCACTCATCTCTACTCAAGGCCAAGTCATGTGGCTGCCTCAGAAAGTGTTTTGTTTCTCCAGGGTGCAGGACGGAGGCAGCCGGCAGAAGTGGTTCTCTGCGCCAACAGTTTGGACAAAACAACGACCCTCCTGGAGCTGCTGACCAGAGAACAGAGGTCCTCCAAAGGTGAGTTACATTTATTTGGGAATAAAATAAATAACCTTGCCATGGGAGCACGCGTGGCCTGGTAAACTGCGGGCGTGGCTGGGGAGGCTGAGAGCAGGATTGCACAAGAGGCTTGGAACACAATCCCTGGCTGCTTGATCAAAACCAGGGCGGCTCCCTGAGGCTGGCTGGCCGGCCGCTGGCCTGATGTCCCGGCAGAGGCATCTCCCTGGAGGGTCGTCCTGGCCTCTGTCACCAGCATCGCCAGCCCCTTCTGAGGGGCCCCTGCTGACTTGGGGTCTCATGGGGAAACAAAAATGAATGATTATTAATGGGTACAGAACACACGTTCAGCCCTGAGCCTCCCGCCCGGCCCCCTCCAGCCATCAGACCTCTGTCCCCCGCTCCAGCCCGAGTTCCTCTGTCTCTGCCATCACCTGTGCAGCCTGCAGCGGGGGCCCGGGAGAGAGACGCAGGGATCAAGGTGTGTGCCCTCCACTGTCCCCAAAGTCAAGCCTTCGGAGACTCCTGCCCAGGCCCAGGCCCAGGCCCTCTGTCACCACGAGCCCCGTCCCTTCATCTCAGCCCCTCTGCTGTGGCAGGGATGTCCCTGTATCCCAGCCATTTCTCCAGCACTCCCCAGTGGAGTGCTCAGGGCACAAACTCGCCGCACACCATACTCACAGTGTCATCGCCAGGAGCGAGGCTCCTGGCCGCAGTTTCTTCTCCGAGACCTGCAGCTTCTTCTCCGGTGTAGGTACGAGTCCGCGCTGACGTGGCTTTCCTGCTTTTTAGGCACCATATTCCTTACGATTGAAAAAATGATCAGAGTTCAGGGGCTGGGAATTTAGCTCAGTGGTACAGTGCCTGCCTGGCAAGTGGGAGGTCTTGAGTTCGATTCCCTGTGCCAGAGAAAAACCAAAAAAAAAAAAAAAAAAGAAAAATGATCAGAGTTCATTTCTTCCCATTTACAATTTTTCATTTACTTGCATTCGGTGAAGTCTGCAGACCATAAAATGGACCATTTTAACTGTTCATGCTAAGGAGCTCTGACAACCAACACAGCCCTGTATTCATCACAATTTCCACCCGGACTCCAGCTGACCCATGGCTGGGCATAGACCAGCTGTGATCCCCCCAACGCAGGTGCAGGTGCTGACCAGAGAATCACGCACACACGTGCACGTGCACACATGGACACACACGCGCACCAAGCTCAGCTGCAGAGCTCTCCCTTGTGCACCTTTTGCACTGCTGGACCTGGAGCCTAAAAAGCCCTTTGGCCGTCTGCACTGGACTTTCCACACATACATACGAGAATTTTCTCGCTCTGCTGCTCTCCCTGGAACGTCCCCCAGCTCCTTCTCTCCTGCTCCAGAGCCAGTGGCCTTTCCTGCCCCTTTGTGTGCAGTTTGGGACTCGGGTCTATTGCTGGAATAGCCTTAACATCCAACAGGTAAAAAAAAAAAGCCAATAAAAAGGTGTCACACAGCCCTCCCAAGAGGAACCCTGCCCTGCTCCCTCCACTGGCCCTCTCTGATGTCCCTGCCTCACACCTCTCAGCCAGGCCAGCTTCTCTGGGGCCCTGCTGTCCTCTGGACCCAGGTTCTGCGGAGCCAGCCACCGAGCCTGTGGTCAGAAGCCTGAGCCCTCATCTGCTGCAGAGCAGGAGAGATGGTGCCAGTGCCAACGCCACTGAGCACCTCCAAGTCCCCCTCCCGTGCTGGGGGATACGCCTTCCTCAACGGCACACAAGGGCCTCCCCTCTGCTGACCTTTGCTAGGTAACAGTGACAGTTATCAAACGCTACTTCCAGATGTTTTTTAGAAAAATTGGCACAGCATGCACTTCAAGGGGAAGTTGACATTTTCATAAAAGACAAGAGAATAGCTCTCTTTTTCCCCTTTGTTTAAGAGCAGTCTATGAAGCCTGCACTTGGAAAACTCAAGTCTGGAAATTTCCCCACTGTTACATAATTTCATGGCTTTCAAACAGTATTTCTCATCTACTAAAGTTCTTAAATTTGGATACTTTAAAACTCAAGGGCAGAATTTTTTTTCTAACCTCTTTGAAAAATCTTCCAAATGGGAGGATCTTGTGAAATTTAAATCAATTTGCTAAAATATGTTCACGTGTAACTCCCCCAATTAATCTTCAAGAGCCAATTATCAACATCAGAGAAGATGAACATAGACACAATTTTAACAAAAATGCTTGCATAATTCATAGAAGGGATTGAAAAATGAATGTATAATTCAGTAAGCACAGCATTCTTCCTTTGGATCTATGTGACTTTATATGCAATCTCCTTCCCAGCAATGGTAGTCATGAAAACCAAGTCACAAAATAAACTCACCTCAGTACCAGGCAGCCAACAATGTGCTCACACTGAAGTTCTGCTGTTCGTGTGTCTCTGATGCGCACCGGTACAGTGGTGCAGAGTATTAGCTGCCTTTCCCAGGGGAATCACTGCTTCTACCCCAAGCTCACCCTGCTTCACCTGCCGGTGCTGGGGAGCTGGGCCCTAGAAAGGGCTTCTTTGCAGGTGGTATAGTGTCAGACTCCGCCAGTAGGGGGCGCAGGAAGGAATTCCCAGCTTTCCCACTTGGGGAAACAGCAGGCTGAGCTACGTCATGAAGCAGGCAGCTTCCCAGTGAGTCCTTCTGCCCCAGTGTCCTCCACAGGAGCCCAGCAGAGCTCTTGAGCATCTCCTCGTGAGCCCCACCACCCCCCTCACCCCAGCTCTCCAGCTACCACCTTCCCCAGGACTCCTGGGAACCCAGAGATGGCCCTTGGCCACACCCCAGAGGCAGTGGTCGCTAACTGACCTGCAGTCCCTTGCTCTGTGGTGCCTGTGTCACCAGGAAGTACCTCTTAGGGTGACCGTCCCCTGCCCAAACTGCGAGGCAGGTGCTGCCATCAGCCACGGGACCTAGGCAGCTCCTTATGGGATGCAGGTCTGCTCAGCCGCTGGTGCTGAGGTCGGCTCTGTTGGTGCTGCTGGGTAATGCTGGGTGCTGCTGGGGCAGTCGGGTGTAGTGGGGTACTGCCAGGTTCTCTTTCCCCTCAAAGTGATTAAAAACCCAAAACCCTCTCCAGTGCCCTGCTCGCCCAACAGAAGTGGCCACGTCTATGGCAGGCAGGGCGCCCAGGCTGGAGAGAGGCACTGAGACCTCCACAGAAGCACGCAGAACCCAGGTCCCCACGGCAGGATGGGCCTGGGGAGGCCCTGAGCTGTGGGGACTCAGCCGCTGCCCTTCCTCCTTGCACCCCAGGCCTGTGAAGCAGAACTGGTGCTCGGGAAGCGTGGTTTGGGGATGTGTTTGGGGATGTCCTTCCCTCCCCACCCCGGCGCAGATCATTCACTGTGTCCGAGGAAACGCCTTTGTCAGATACACACTGAAGGTGTTACCGATTACTCTGCACAGATGCTCCTGGGTATCTCCCTCGCTCTGGCAGGGAGCAGGAGACAGGCAAGTTGCACAGGTGGGACAAAAAACAGCGTCCTGTCTGGGTGGGGCCCTCCCTTCCCACAGGAGGCTCTGCAGGGCTCGAGGACATCTGGTCATCTCTGCCCCCTCCTCTGGGAAGCTCAGCCCCTTCCTCTCCGGAAGTTTGGCAGGAATCAGCCCTGGCCGGTGATTCAGCTCAGTGGTGTGGCACCTGCCCGGCAAGCCCGAGGTCCTGAGTGCAATTTCTGGTACCGAAGAGAAAACAAAAACCAAAACACCAAATACCAGACCTCCTCCCAGGCTCCGGGGCACCTTATAGATCCTCCCCCCTGGCCTGTGTTCCAGCAGATGTCCAGTGGGGCAGACCCAGGACGGGGCACCCCCAGATACAATGAACACATTGCTTCCCCAGGGATCCCTCGCAGGCGGGAGGGAGGGTGCCTGGTTGGTTGTGGTGGCTGGCTGTAGTTCTTCCAGTGGGAGCAGGGTTCCTGCTGCCTGTGCACATACAAATGCGTGCATGTGTGTCTGTGCTGCTGAGCGGACCCCTCCACCTCACCTCTAGGTGGCCTGGCCTGCAAGCCGCTGCCAATGGTATGGATCCCTCCTGGGAGCTGTCTGGGCAGAAGGGGCGGATGAGCCTCCTATGTACCTGCACGAGCAGGTGCTATCTGTGTCTAACTCCGTGGGCCAAAGACAAGCAGACAGAGCTCAGCAGGATGGGCAGAGCTGGCCCACGTCCTGGCCCGGCCCTCTCGGGAGGGCACCCTGCATGAGGCTGGCAGTTGCGGCGTGCGCCTCAGGGAAGCCCCTGCCTGCCCACACCCAGAGACACAGAGACCCAAAGACACCCCTGGGCCAGCAAAGCCCCTCCCTGCCTGGGAGACAGTAAGGGGGGGCAGCCAGGGTGGGAGGGGCTGGGGCAGGGTGCAGGGAACCCATGCCTGCTGAGGACCCCAGGAGCCTTTCTGGGCCACAAGCCTTGAGGAAAACCTAGTACAGGGCGGTGGAGGATGTCACAACCTCACACGTACACACAAGAACGCACACGAACACGCGCACACGGGAAGACACGCACACTCAAACGCACACAGGAACATACGTACATACTCAAACGGACACTGGAACGCATGCACACGCTCAAATGCACACAGGGACACATGCACACACTCAAATGCACACACAAATGCACACAGGATGACAGGCATGCACACAGGAACACGCACATAGGAACACATGCACACATACATGCACGCAGCAGGCTCCCCGGGACCTCAGCACCCTAGAAGGCCACCCTTCCCCTGGCCCGCCCTGCCCACCTGTCCTCCCACCTCGCTGCCTCGTCCCACGCTGATTCACGGCCGCTTGCCCGCGGGACGGCGCCGAGAAGCCCAGGCTCGTCTTCCGTCCCGGGCTGCATTCCTCGCGGGGCAGCAGAGTTCACGGCGGGGTCGATCCTCCCCGCGGGGGCGCTCTGCTTTCCCAGCTGCCCCAGCCAGGTCCCGGCCTCCGCGTGGGCTCTGCACTGTCGTGACGAGGGCCACAGTGGCGAGGCGCCTGCGGGGCCCTGCGGGCTCGCTGCCCCTGTGAACGTCCCCCGGGGCCCCCGTCCCTTCACACGCTCCGCGTGGTCCGGGCACCCCCGAGGCCGCGGCTG